GGGTGAATCAGGGTCTCAGCTCCTCCCTTCATACTTTTCTCTTCCAACTAAATGAAGGGGAAGACTGGGCAGGTGTGGATGGAGGGCCGGAGCAGGCCGGGTAGCAGGAGCGCCCAGCCCAGCGCAGCGCAGCGCCCACTCCGCTTCCCCCTCCCGGGGGGGGGGTGGTAGCACGGGCAGGGCCTGGGGCTTTGCCAAGCGCCCTCCTCACTTATAGGCAATGCCCACCGCCAGGTGGCTCTGCCGGGCTCGGGTGGGGGTAGTGGTGTACTGCATTTCCATTGTGTACAGTATGGCATTCATCTGCTGAAGAAATATGTACTGTACAGTATTTTATTTCAATTTAATATTCTTTTAATATGTTTGAGTTAACATTTTTTATATTTTTAATATTGTTTTAAATTTTTTAGGCAAAAATAACTAAAATCATAAATATTATATAAATACCTATATACTGCAAAGTCCCATGACACAGTGAAAACTCTACGATACAGATTTAGATACATTTTTTAAAAAACCCGTGATACAATGAAGCCACAGTAAGTGAACCACGATAGTGAGGGAGGACCATACACATACTGTGTAATGCATGTATATATTGTGTATATATATATAAGTATATGTGCTTCATATACATGTATACATATTTCATCCGTTATATCAACGTAATACTTGCCAACATACTATAAGATAGAATTTCCTCCCCATTAAAAAAGGAAAAAGCTGGCTCAGAAATTAAACATGTCAGAGAGATTCAGTGACAGGTGCCTGTACTCCCAGCCCTCAGGAGGCTGACGCAGGAGGATTGCCGTGAGTTCGAGGCCTGCCTGGGCTATATAGTGAGTTCAAGGCCAGCCTGCCCTATATAGTGAGATAGTTTCAAGAAAAAAAAAAGAAAGAAATTAAACATTTTCCCCAAGAATATATAAACTAATAAGTGGTCAACATTAAGCTCAAATGCAGTGTAGGTTTAAGGTCTGACTCCAAGTCATCACACACCTTTAAGCATTCTTTATATGAACTGGCGGTCCAATGATGGGGCAGGCATGCAAGTCCAAGGGTGACCCCTGAGCCTCGCTGCACCAGAAAAGAAACTAAAGAGAGATAATTGGCTTGCTCCCACACATGTGTCAGAGACCCCAGCTTTCCCATTTCTTAGTCTGCACTGCAACTGGCTAAATACTCTTTGAGTGTCTTCCTCATTAACACGGTGACGGTAATATTGGTTCATGGCCATTTTGCAGGAATTTGAAAAAGAATGAAACAGCATCTGTGTATTGTGCTAGAAACTCAAAGCATTAGAGACGTTCAGACGCGGCCATCTTTCAAGATATTTAAGAACACAGTCTCAGGACTTAAAAGCCCTGTCCACATTATTTCAATGTATATGTGCTAGCAACCTCTGAAGTGGTTATTTTTAGGGCTGGGGACAGAAGTTAGGAAAGGCTAAAGGGCTTGCCGCTGTTTGAGAAGGGAAGTAGTGGGGGCTGAATTAGCTCATCTAGGACTCAGCCACCCTGCAATAAGTCTAGGGCTTACAAGTAAAAGCAGAACTGTGGTGTGATCAGATCTTACTTATATCCATCTTCAGTGAGGCAGACCAGGTGGTCTATAAACCATATTTGTGTATGTGCTGCTGAAGTGAGCACTATAAACCACAATTTGAAAAGCACTGGAAAATAACTTCCTACACTGACTTTAGAGCATTAAACTCTTTCTTCAGTTCTGACAAACACCCCATGCGTCAAGATTTTCTAAAACAAAAATAAAAACGTTCCAATAAAATACTGACAGTGATCATTATTCTATCTTTTCCTCTCTTCAAAATAGAAAGTTAAAAAACTAAAAACATGAATACAATGAGATATGAGCTATAAGATCACAGGTAAGAGCTAGTTACAGAAGAAAACCTTGCTGCTATTTCTTGCACACAGTAGTGGGGTGAGAATGTGCTTCTTGGTGGTGTGAACCAAGCATGAGAAGGGAGGGGCAGGGAAATGACGGCAGGAAAGGGTCTAGGTACGGGTGAGGTGAACAATGAAAAGGACTGGTCACCCTTCTCAGTAAAGTGTGAAACATGCTAACATTTCACAGTTTGGGCAATAATCTCCTGCATTATTTTAATGAACGTTCATTGCCCTCAGTATCATGCGCCTATAAAAGGATTCAGTGATGTCAGTGCTGCAGAGAAGAAAGGAGAACCACACTGAAGACACTCAAATGACTGCATAAGGCAGCATGTAGCCAAGTTCCAGAGTGCGGCACAGTCAGTAAGAATAGCAGGAAGTGACCTGAAGAGCGGGGGGGGGGTGTCGATGCATTCCGGGAGGGCTTCATCAGTGAGGCGGCTACACGGAGCCTTTCAGAAGGAGAAAGACTCATCAGGAAAGAATGAGGAGAGTTCAGACTTGGGAAAGGGCATTCCAGAGATTGGTCTCTATTCTAATGGTCATTTGTATTGGGATGCAAAAGGCCAGGGATAGAAATCAAAATGGTGGCCGGGTGTGGTGGCCTACTCGGGAGGCTGAGGCAGGAAGATCATTGTGAGTTCGAGACCAGCCTGGGTTACAAAGTGAGCTCAAGACCAGCCTGAATTGCATGGCGAGACCCTGTCTCCAAAAGACCAAAAAAAAAAAAAAAAAAAAAAGAAATCAAAATGGTATCTCATGACATCATTGATTTATGAGGGTTTATGTTGGAACAACAAAGATGATGTCACAAAACTTTGTTGTGTTTTTGTTGTTTTGTGGGGGACAAGGTCTCCCTCCATAGTTCAGGCTGGCCTTGAACTCGCAATCCTCCTGCCTCAGCCACCAAGTGCTGAGATTCCAAGCATGCATCACTACACCCAGCTTGGCACAGAACATTTTTAAAGCCAACTCTAATATAATCCAGTGGTGGTGAACTTCTGGCACACATACTGCAGCAAGCTGTTATTATTGAAAACTCTAAAAGGTTCACCATGTCTATATTAGAGACTACTTCTGCTAGGTAGAAATTACAGTTCAGAAAGACTCCTGGCCATCTCAGTGCTTTTTGTTGTCTTTACAGGGGAACGTGTTTAACACGTGGAAACCCATGTGGGTGGTACTGTTAGAAGATGGAATTGAGTTCTATAAGAAGAAAAGTGACAACAGCCCCAAAGGAATGATACCCCTGAAAGGAAGCACTGTGACTAGCCCTTGTCAGGACTTTAGCAAAAGGATGGTGAGTGGACATCACTGGCCACAGTGAACCTTGCACTATACCCTGACCTCTTGGTACACACCTAACTTGCAGGGAAGCAGTGTTCCCTGGACGAGCCCCTCTCACCACCACCAAGCACTCTGACGTTGGCATCTCTCTTTGTTAGAACAGGTTTGAGGCAGATGCTCCGGTTGGTAAAGGGCCTTAGCCTTTGAAGCGGTCATTTCTGATGGGATGTGTTTGAATTTTCAGTTGGTATTTAAGATCACCAGCACCAAACAGCAGGACCAGTACTTCCAGGCTGCCTACTTGGAAGAGAGAGACGCTTGGGTTCGGGACATCAAGAAGGCCATCAAATGCATTGATGGAGGCCAGAAGTTTTCAAGGAAATCCACAAGGCGGTCCATTCGTCTGCCAGAAACTGTTGATTTAGGGTAATTCTGTGTTTGTTTCTTCCTAACCCTATGCATTTTTTCCTTCTTCCTGTGGAAAGGGAAGAACACAACAGATTCTGCTCCAAGGTTTGTTTTAGACACCTCTGGAAGTCTGTGTCCCCTCTGCTGGGTTGATACCAGCACTTGGTGGACTAAGATGTTTCTCTGGACCTAGACAGATTATGGCCCCTCCAACACCTGGGAGCTGAGGAGAGGTAAGGAGTCTAATGGCATACAAATGCCCTGTGGTAGTGTATACTTATAATCCTAGCATTCGGGAAGCTGAGTCAGGAGCATTGCCATGAGTTCAAGGTCAGCCTGAACTACATAGCAAGATCCTGTCAAGCCAGCCAGCAAGCAAGCCAGCAAGTAAGCAAGCAAGCTTCAGAATCTCTAGATAGCAAAGAAAAAAAATCTCATACTGGCTGTTTAAAATGTTCAACAAGAATTTTGTTTACATGTGTTTGGGGTGGGGAGAGTCCCTGAGAAGGGACCAGAGACACCTTCTGCAGGATTCAAACTGGATATGGCTGCCGCAGGAGTAAAATTTTTATATTGTGCTTCTTGGTAAAGCTTTTTGGTAAAGACCCAAGAGAAGATATCTGGCCTAGCCAGAACTGCTGACTGGGTTCGTCAAGTGATTCCTGGCCAGCGCTGTCACAGCTAATGGCTATGACATTCACGCTACTCTAGGCCACAGGATACATGAAAGTGGGCTTCTGTTCTGTGCCTTAGAATTTCTCTGAAAGGACAAAGATGAGAACGTCTCGTTATTTTACCTTCTTTCCTCATTTTAAAAATAAAAATAAGCTTTGAGGAACTATTCACTTTCTTGCAGGCAAATGTCTGCAACAGATGGTCTCTTGAAGATCTTTAAAGAGTTGAGGGACTGAGTTAATCAGCCTTCTGTTACTGTAACAGATACCTGAGATAGCAATTTATACAAAGCAAAGGTTTGTTTTGGTTCACAGTTTTGGAGGTTTCAGTCCATGGTCAGTTGGGTCCTTTGCTTTTAGGCTTCTGGTGGAAGCACATCATGGCAGGAGATCATGGCATAGCAAAGCAGCTCACATCATGGTTAGGATGTGGCAGAGAGAGTTCAGAGTACTGCAATCCCCCTCATGGGCACACTCCCAATGAGCCCACCTCTTGAAGTTTCTACTACTTCCCAGTAGCACCAATCTGGGACTAAATCATTAACATGTTGCCCCTTGGGAGACATACCAGATCTGAACTATAGCAGAGACCTCAAAGATCTAGGATGTGCCTGCAAAATTGGCCCTGAGAAACTTTAATCTCTGGCACCTAATCAGGGCAACACTCCATGTCAGGCACCACAAGTTAAATCAACAAGGAACTTAATGAATTTAAGAGACACTGGATAACTTCCAACTGGATTTTGCTAATGCTCTGCCAGCCACAGAATTACACAAATATAAATGCTGCCCTTTAGCTACTTATGGTCTGGTGGAGAGATTAGGCTTAGGAGCTGCACAAAGGTGAGGGGCAGAGAAACTGGGGCTCCAAGCCATCTTCTGCAAGGTGCCACCCCCCTACAAAGAATTCACCATTCCTAAATGCTTCCCACTTATCTACCTGCTTTGATTTCTGTGCAGTGCTTTGTATTTGTCTATGAAAGACACTGAAAAAGGAGTGAAAGAATTGAACATAGAGAAGGACAAGAAGATTTTTAATCACTGCTTCACAGGTAAAAGGACTCGTGTGCCTAAAATGGGTGACTGGGGAGGGAGTATGGAGCTCACCGTTAGCAGAGTGTGTATGTGAGGTTTTTTGGGGGTGGAGCCTGGTGTATGGGTGTGGTCATGGCATGCAGATTGTTGAGCAGAAGAATTGAGTTTCCCTAATGTGGAAACAGAAAGCAGGATAGAAAGAAACTTTCTTGTTCAAGATAACATTTTATTTTATAAAATAAAAGAAGGAAAACATATTAACAGACATCCATTTACAAAATAGCATAAGAACAATACAAACAGTACAGAGTTACAAAGTGATAGGAAATTAGCAATGGTTGTTGTATTATGTATTGATATCTTCAAAGTGGTTTCTCAGGGAAACAAATAGAGACATGCAGGATTGATCAAACAAGTAATCATTAACTGTTCCTTTCAGTAAAACAATAGAAGACAGTAGCACAACTATGTTAGCTATCCTGTATATACATACATACATAATTTCCCTTTCTTTCCCTTCTCTTTTCCCACACCCCAGCTGCCCTTTACTTTTGAGCATTTTCCTTTTGTTTCACAGTATCTATCACACCTCTTAGTTTTTATTCACTCTTTCAGGTTCTTACACTAGTGAGACAATATGTTGCTTACACATGCAGGTCTGATTTATTTCACTTATGAGTATGGTCTCTAGTTGTGACCATTTACCTATAAAAGCCTCGAGTTTATCTTTCTTTATAACTGAGTAATATTCTATTTTATAAAAGTGCCACAATTTTTTTATCCAGTCTTCAGTGGATGGACATTTGGGTTGCTTCCACAATTTAGCTATTACAAATTGCACTGCTATGAACATGGTTGCACATATATTGCTGTGATGTTTTCAGATCTTCTGGGAAAATACCCAGAAGGGGAATAGCTGGGTTGAATGGGACCTCTAGATAACATTTTAGAAGTTTCAGCTAAATCAATCGAAGGAACTTTTTAATAGAATACATGGCATTATTTTGAGAATTGTTAGAAAACAGACATAGAGCTGGGTAGAATGCATACCTAACTGTGATAAATAGGGATCAAGACATATAGTATAAAATTTAAATGACAATATTAGGGAATACAGGTTGCCCAGTGTAAGACTTAGGATGTTACAGATTTAGGTAGTGTGGTGTAGTGTTTAAAACATGTTTTTGGAACCACACTACCTTGGCTCAAAGCCAGCTCTGTAACTTACAAGCTGTAAAACCTTGGGCCAATAATTTAACCTCTTTGTGCTTTATTTTTCCCATCCATAAAATGGTGATATTGCAATTTACCTGCTTTGTATGTTTGTTATTACATGTGGAGAATAGCACCTGCACATGCTAAGTGCTATATAGACCAAGCTCGCAAGTGGCTATTATGATTAAAGAGATTATACATCTACATAACAGCTTCATGAGCCCAGAAAAAAGTTCAGAATTTGTTGGGATAAATAGGAGGAGATGCATAAATTTGACACTGAAATATGGGTAACAGTTTGGGGAGAGGATTTCTGATGAGGAGACTATGCTGCACGTGGTGAGGACAAACTACAAGATAGAGGTGTGTAGAGTACCCATCTGAGAAAAGAAGTTGGCTAGCTTGGTAGGAGTAATTGTTCATTACAGGGAATGCAATAGATGTACAGTTTGGGAGTAGTTTGTTGGAAACTGGGTATGGCTTACTTATGGTGAAGAGAGATATCAAAGAAAGAAAATTCTGAGAAGATACAACAGATGTAGAATCTGAGATTATGTCAGATCAGTAGATAATCCATGAAAATAGTCCTGGTCAGCGTTAGGAAGGGGAAAGGGAAGATGGTGTGATCTGCTGTAACAGGGCAACGTCGCATAAGGGTGAGCCTCAGGGTGCTCAGGCAGCAGCCTGTGACCCTCAGATGCGTCAGGGCCGAGATTTGGGATCAGGACACCAAGCCATGGTTGGCAGTGAGGGGAGCTTACAAGAGCAAGGCAGAACCCCAGCGGAGGGTACTATGACAGCCTCTAGCACAGGAAACAGGAAGAAGTTCCAGTGTAGATCAGGGAATAAGACCTGGCCCTGGTTTACTTCCTGTGTAACATGTTCCTGAGTCCCAGGGTACTGAGCCAGCACTTCGTAAGTCCTTTCCATTGAAAGTCCGTGGGTGGATCCTTCTTGGAGGGAGGTGGCTTGAGCTGAGAGACTGAGGTAGAGACTTGAGACCTGGGCAGTGCTGATGTATGATAGAGGACCTCGAAAATCAGGTGTCAAGGGGACGGGGCTGAGTTTGTCTTATAAGCTGTAGCATGCTCAGCTGAACAAGCACAGATTTAAGAGTGGGGTCATGCAAATGTGAAGGGTCAAAGTAGGTGCAACTTAGCCCTAAAATCATTTGAGCTCGGAGCCTTAATCTTCTCATCTTGTACATGGAATGCATAATTACTGTCCTACCTGTTCCATAGGGTTTCTGCAAGTGATTAAATGCAGAAATGCAGCCCTCATTAGTTTTTCTGTACAGAGAAAGAAAAGTGTCACAAAAGATTTCATGTATGAAGTTCATAGAAGGCTCAATACCCCGAAGCTCTTCCTGCCGATGTGAGAATGGCCTGCCCGGTGTTCTGACCTGGGTGAGCCAGGCTGGCTCTGTCACGGCTGCATCTGCAGGGATGCACTTTTATGAATGCAAAGCTTCAGTCTGGCCTTCTGACAAGCCAAGTGATGAGCCAATTTTACTTTATTCCCTTTGTTCTCTCTTGATGCAGAAGTTTGATTAAAAAATTTCTTGAGGTTCCTAGGGAGATGTGACTATCAACACAAGTAACATCATCACATTTTATTTCAGGCCACACAGCCCATCGCGTATGTGCTGCTTAAAAACTTGCAACGGCTCCTCTTTGCCAGCTTTCTGAATGTGCCTTCTCGGCTCTCTCCGCCCACTCTGCGCCTTCTTCCTCCTCTCTCTCCTTTTGCCTTCTTCTTGCCGCCTCCTCCCCCCACCCCACGGCCGCTGCCCACTGCTCCCGCCTGTTCCCGCTGCTGCCTCCCTGCTTGGGCTGGATGCTCCCAGCCCCCATTTCACGAGCTTGCAAACACTTACTTGTTTTTTAGATCTCAGCTCTGTGTCACTTTCTTTATAAATCTTTTTCCTGACAGCATGGTAATCCCCTCCTCTTCTGTCTCCTCTTTCTGCATCTTTACATTTGACCCAATAGTTCCACAATGTTGATTTATAGCAGGGTGGCGATGGCAATCCTTACCTAGTACCCATTTCTCTCTTTAAGATTTCCTGAGCCAATCTGCCCCGTACCCTTCAGAGACCTTTTGTCTAGCAGGTGCTCAACAAATGCTCCTTAACATGCTGAGTTGGTAAAAACGATTTCTTAGTCATGCTTCCCAAGCATCATGTAAATGTTTCTCAAATCCCTTTACGTGGCTCCTTTTGTTTTCAAGCATCTGTCCACTATTTTTTCCTTCTTGGAATAACAGGGAAAATGCGATAAGTTGGACACAGGTGCGCTGGAGTCAGTGCAGGGTGAGGGCCAGAGGCTTGTTCCTTGGGAAGGGGAGTTAACCTTCCTTCTGATGGTCCTGTCCAGGTAGCTGTGTTGTTGACTGGTTGGTAGGCAACAACTCTGTTCGGAATCGCCAGGAAGGCCTCATGATTGCCTCTTCGCTGCTCAACGAAGGATACCTGCAGCCTGCTGGGGATTTGTCCAAGAATGCAGCAGATGGAACCGCTGAGAACCCTTTCCTGGACAATCCTGATGCTTTCTACTACTTTGTAAGTAAAAAAAAACTACCTTCTGGGGCATGATAGCACAAGCCTGTAATCCCAGCACTCAAGAGGCTGAGGCAGGAGGATCACTTCGAGTTCAAGGCCAGCCTGGGTTACATAGTGAACTCAAGGCCAGCCTGCACTACACAATGATGCCCTGTCTCGAAAAAAAAAAAAAAAAAAAAACAAAAGCAAAAGCAAAAAGCTACACACTCTATTCTTGTCTTGGGGGCTGCCCAGGGCAAATTCCCAGTTGATTTCAGTTCACAGCCCCATGTGCAAAAGAAAATGCTCACAGCTCTACAGTGAGCTGTCAGATGTGGGGGAGGGGCAGGGAGTGGGTGTCAGCTGGGGAGGAGGAGGAAGGAGGCAGGAAGCCTCGAGGTCACAGAGCTTCTCCAACCCCAGCGCTTCCCACACTTGACAGCTGTTCCCTCTGCAGCTCTGCCCTGCCCACGTGAGTCATGAGAAAGAAAACAACGGTTGGCTGGAATTGTTTTCTTTAAATTCGTTTAAAAACTTTCCTATTTTCATTCTTATTCTAAGCCATAATTCATTTATAAAAGTTTATTAGGCTACAGTACATGACTCTGATAGGCAGAGGGGATGAAGCAGTGGAGCCGGGGAGGCAAGGCAAAACTTCTCACCCCTGGGGAGTTCCTTTTCTAGAGGGTAATCTATAAAAATCACAGGTGTGACTTTTCAACATGTAAGTACGTTCCAGCACAGAATGCGTTTGTGCATATCACTTCCTACTCTCATCTTGGGTAGCTCCGGTGGTACAGTCCCTGGAGATTGGGAAACACTGCGTTACACAATATGGGCCTAATCTGGGGCCATGTATAATTGCAAGAACGGGGGGATTTTAGCAATTTTGTTTCGAATTTGGAACAGAATATAGAAGTTAGGAAGCTATCGAGCCCCATCTGACTTACAAAAACGAAGCGAACATCCCAGACAGAGTTTCATTTCACTTTAGGGGAAGTTCCTCTGTCAGTACTTTTTTTTCTTCAGACCTTTGGTTTGCCTACTTAAACCCATTTAAATCTTGCTATTTGTCTAAAATGCCCACCACAGTGACTGTCTTCTACCGTGTGATTCACCACTCGATTATAGCCATGCAAGACCCAGGTCCCTCCTGACGTCAAGGGTTGAGGCTGGACATGCGCTCTCGGTCTTCTCAGAGTAGAAGGAGCTAAGCGGCAAAGGTTATAATGGAGACAGTGCCTCGTAATGACGCACACATTTAGTCACCCCGTCTCAAGGATGTGGCCATGAGGTCTTGAGCGAAGAAGAAGGTTCGGAAGGCAGAAGTGTACTCAGTGAGAAAAGTCGAGCTAGATTTAGACTGTGGCTTGGGGAATCCTCGAAAATGAAAGGATAGAGATAAGACCACCCCTGAGTGGGAATGAAAAGGAGCAAGATAGGGAAGCAAGGAAAGGGAAGAGGGAAAACCAGCTAACCAAGCACAACCTTTAAAGTTCAGAGGGGCGAGCACAGTAGCCCGAAGGAAAGGGAGAAGCCTGTCGTGGTGGCAGGAGGGGAGGGGAAGATGGAAAGTGTACAGGTAGCAACAGGCCTAAGGCTGATACATTCAACTTGCTCCTTGGTCTCTCCATAGCCAGACAGTGGATTCTTCTGTGAAGAGAATTCCAGTGATGATGACGTGATTCTGAAAGAAGAATTCAGGGGGGTTATTATCAAACAGGGATGTTTGCTGAAGCAGGTGAGTGGCGGCTGCCATTTTCTTCTAGCCTTCCTCCTTACTGGGTCTGTTTTTTTTTTTTTTAATCTAAATTACCCAGCATTTAATTTATTTGGCTAATAATCAACCAGAAAATGAAATCCATAGCGCAAAATATAGACAAAGAGCTCAGTAGACAATAAAAATGGCATCAGGTTAGGATGACTGAGGCAGGCAGGGCAGAAGATGCCCCTAGAAATAAGAAAATACTTCTTTTATCAACCATAGAAAATGAAGCCCTACTAATTGGCTAGAGGAAATAAATTGGCTAAGACAAAGATGTTTCATGGTAAAATATTGCTGTTTAGCCTCCTCTATTCAAAGAGATCAGGAAACAGAAACAGGCTATAGCCAGAAGGAAACATCATATAAATTTATGAGCAAGAAGGTATCATTTCAGATTGAGGATAAGGGATGACGAGACCAAAAGCCAGGGTGCTACTACTAAGGCCACCTCCACAGGAGCAGCAGGCAAAGAACACAGTCCTGGAGGGTGTTACATGCAATTGCCTGGCATCCACAGGTACGCTACCAGCCGGCCACTGTCTGTCTGGGAGACAAGGCCTTGGGTGAGCTGATGAGTCAGCTCCCAGGTGCCAAGACACATGATGCTGAGAACTGAGAAACTGCCGGGGCAGAGGATGAGCAAGGAATCCAGGGCCAGCAGCCACTAGGAGAAACAGTAGGAAGGCATGGGAATATTCAAGATGGAATAAATTGATGTTAGCACAGGGTGTTGCCAAAACCAAGGCTGCTTTAGAAGGCCAAAATCTTGCCTTCCTGGCTGAGTTGTGAGCTGTCTTAAAAGTACTGCTCAGTATGCAATGCAGAGAACTTGGTGGCTGTAAGAAGATTTCTGTGCAGTGTTCAGGCCACATGTGATGGAGAGATTCGACTTTCTTCACATTGGAAAGTCCCTACGTTTCATCTTCATGGTCTGTGGAGGGCAGGGAGAGATGAATCAAAGCAGACTATATATTTACACTTAACTAGAGAGACTATGGGTTTGCTGAGATTAAGTGATGGCATGGATTTTAAGTTTCATGGAGGAAATGGTGACTTTTATAGTGTGGAAAAATGATCTTAACATCAAGTTTTAGGATAAGAGGGTCTTAAGAAATATAAAGCGAGAATTTGGAAAGAATCTGTGGCCGAGGCTGATACCTTTTTGTGACAGGGTAACTGTTATGGTTGATACATTGTGTCAACTTGGGGAGTCTAGAGGTTTGCCTAAGTAACTTAGCAGGAAGCCAGAGTGCTTATTTTGTATACATCCTGAGCCTGTGGAAGAGGAGGGCAAAGATTATGTGAGAGCTACACGCCCCTTAGGTGGGGGTAGCCTGTTTACGATGTAAGGCAAGAAAGAAGCTGCTTGCCGCCATTCCTGCCATTTGCTCTGGCTGTTTGCTGTTCGGCTGCCATTCCCCCCTTTGCTCTTGTTGGTTTGCTACCTTCTGCCTCGGAGCCAGCCAAGTATGGACTGAAACCTCCACAGACTGTAAGCTAAATAAACCTTTCCTTCCTTCATTTTGGGCGTTGGGTATTTTGTCTCAGCTACGAGAGAAAAGTAACCAAGACAGTAACCAATTGGCTAGATTAAAGGAAAGGTATAGGAGCAGAACAGCCTTTCACAGGGGAGGCTCTGATAGAGCTGCCCATTGTTGGTTTCCTCATTGGTTCTGGCACTTTCCTATATGCTTGGCTCTTTCATTTCAGGTGCTAGAAGGTAGCTGCTAAGAAAAGAGTAACTTGGGAAGGAATTGTATTATTTCCTTATTTTATTGATTTATTCTATAATTCCATATTGTTACTATCCACTAATTATTTGCAGTGCTGGGAATCAAATCCAGGGCTTGTGCATGTTAGGCAAGTACCCTCCTACTGAGCCATGTACCACCCCAAAGCCCTAAGCTTGAGGGGGCTCTTAGAAAGCTGGACATGAGCCAGGTATGGTGGCACATGTATGTAATCCCAGCACTCGGGAGGCTGAGTCAGGAGGATCGTTGCGAGTTCAAGACCAGCCTGGGCTACAAAGTGAGCTCAAGGCCTGCCTGAACTGCATAGTGAGACCGTGTCTCAAAAAAGACCAAAAAAAAAAAAAAAAAAAAAAAAAAAAAAAAAAAAAAAAAAAAGCTGGACATGAAAGTTGATAAAAGGTAGGTACTATCTGGGCTGGAGTAGCACCATGTCTGGGCAAAGAACTTAGTAGGAGACCCTGAATGGTCCAAAATTGGCTGAACGAATGGGTGCCTGAGTGCGTGTTAAAGATAACAGGGACTAGAAGTAAACATATATATGTGTTTTCTTTTGCTTTCCTTTCCCCGGCCTATGATGGGAACATCTAGTAGACCAGCTGGTGCACATTTGAATATGCTGGGGAGCTTTCAAACTGCACTCCAGGCCAATTAAATCAGAGCCTGGATTTTTGCAGTTCCCGAGTGATTCTGTTATGCAGCCAGGGCTGAGAAATACCGAGCTAGTCTTTTTCATAAAAGCTAATTTAGTCTATTCTCAAAATATAACTATTTAGACAATCATTTTTATAGGCTTCTTTTTCTCATAAAAAAGACAGGAATCTGTATTCAGGGACTTGGTTTTCATAATGGTCTTCCATTTGGGAGGACAGTGGGAATGGTATGAGGGGAAAGCAAAACCCCTTCTACTTGAATTGGCATTTCGCTAATGTTTCTGACCTCTTAGCTCAATGGTTAGTAACACTGGTACATATTAGAATCACTTGAAGAAATTTAAAAAAAATTTTTTCTTTCAGTTCCACAAAATGTAAACTACCTGTCTCTGCTGCTGGGAGTAAACCGTGGTCCACTTGCATAGAAAGGCTAATTGTGAAAAAGGACTCTGTGTCCCCCACTTCACAGGGGGAAGGAGCTGTGTCCACCTGGGGGACTGTTTTCCCCTCCTCTATTCTCTTTGCTTCTGTTTCAGGGGAAAAAAACTACTTGATAAATGGAGCAAGTTTGAGGATGGATGGTCTTGGATTATGTTCAATATAACCCCTCTCATGTAATTTTTTTCAAAGAATTAACAAATTAACTAGTTGTCTAATTTTAACCACAGATAGGTTCCTTGAGGGGAAGGACAATGTTTTACATATGTTTTCAGCTGTGGCGTTCAGTACCCTTTTTGTGCCAGTATAGGCAATAAGCACTTGCAAATTAAATTACATTAAATTAAATATAAGTAGGTGTTTAACAATTCAGTCACAATTCTTGGAAAACTCAAGCATGCATACTTTCCTTAAAATCCTTCAGGAAACACTCATTAAATGAAAGATGGCGAACCACACACCTCAGCATAGCATATTGTGATGTCAGTGAGGGCTTCAAGGGAATACGGTGGTTGGCCAGTGTTAGGTAATTTCCTGTCTTTCCTGTTACCTTCCTCTTCCATTGACTCATGATAAGTGGGTGGTCACCCAGCAATTGTGTAAGAGCATCACATGTGTGTCTGAAGATAGAGAGGAAATCTTGTGGGGTGGCACTTTAATGCTTGCATCTCATGAGCAAAGAGCAGGAATTTATACTTAGAAGCTCATGCATCACAAATGCTCTTCTGTATATGATAAAGCACATAAAAATATTTTCTGCCCTCCCTTGTGACACTACAGGGCTCCTGGCTCCATCCTTCAGGCAAGTGAAAAAAAGCTTCTTTGGAAATGAGTTTCTTGACAAACGCTTCTCCAAGAAACTCGAGCCCCTTCTTGAACGCTCTTTTTAAATTCCTCCGACCTTATTTTATGACAGAAGCCCTATTATTGAAAATCACACATGATTCATTGTTTTCTACATAAACACAACAAAAAATGAAAGGGAATTCATCTATATGTCAATGTGTGGGGCTTGGGAAATAACCAACGATATTTTTATATTGGCAAGGTTGAAACTGTGTATATGCTGATCTAATACTTTTTTGGTTTCTGGTGTTATTTAAAATTATTTCAATTTTCTATGGGAAATTGTAGAAGCATGTTTACCATGACATTTTAAAACCTGCTTTAAACTGATTGAAATAACTTGAAAATTCATAGCAATTACTGACAGGTATAGAGCAGCTTCCCTGGGCAGGCACTATACTGAGTACTAGAGGACAGTGATGAACAGGAGGCAAATCCTGCCCTTAAAACTCACAGTCTGTAGATTACTGACTCACAGTAATGCCTTGGAAACACCAAGTTCTACTCTCCGATTTTCACCCTGTTACAGTCAAATTAATTTCTGTTTCTACAGCTGCTGCCTAAAGTTAATTCCTAATACATTTATGCCTGGATCCTTGTAGTCACTTCTTAATGACCCCTCTTTATTTTATTATCTTCTCCCTGATGTTCCTTTAATCTATGCAGCTGGTATATTTTGTACCTTGTCACCATCAAATGGTGTTGAAATCATTATCTGAAATGGAATTGTAATCTCATTTCCTACTTAAAACCCATCAGCAACCATCCCCACCTCTTCTTCTGTTTTTTCAAAGCTCTGTCTGCTTGTCCAGCTTTGCCTCACGCAGCTTCCGTTAGTCAGACTGGTCTTGTTCACCAGTGTTTCCTCGAGGCTTGTGCCTTTGTACCCCTACTTTTGTGTTGTCATAGTCTTTTCACCCATCTAAGTCCTTTGTCCACATGGATAAGTCAGTCTAGGTCTTTATGAGACTTTGTTTGACATCCAAAGTCCATAACTACATATCCTTTATTTAATTACTTTGAAGCCAATTATTTGATTTGGGCTTTGCCCTTTTATATTGCCACATGGGTTATAAATTTCTCAAATTGTAGGATCACTTTTTAAGCCACTTCATATCCCTCCCATTACCTAATGTAGTGTAGTACCGGTGCATAATAGCGTATTACATAATATTATTACATAATACTAAAACTGCGAGAGAGGCTTAGAAATAATTTAATTTATCTATTTAATTCAGTACTGGAATATGCAACTTATTAACTGGCTTCAGCACTATGTCCCTAAGAAAGACTTGGGTCAGGGCCTGATTCTCCTGAAGCTGGTGTTTTTTCTATCTTTTTTCAATTCAGCAAAGACTTGTCACTTAGGTACCTGCATGCAGAGTGATTCTAGGAGCTCATCATGCTTTGTTCTATGCTTTTCCTGGATACAGGGGCATAGGAGGAAAAACTGGAAAGTGAGAAAGTTCATCCTGAGAGAAGACCCTGCCTACCTACACTACTACGACCCTGCAGGGGTGAGTGACATTCTTTGCTCTTCAAATCCATTCAAACAGAAGCCTCGTCTGCATTTATGAGGTACACTTCCCACTCCCCTTTCAGCTCTGCTGATATTTCCAGCTTCTCTTCACCCCCATCCTTGCTTCTTTCTCTCCCATCCCTCTTTACATTTTTCTACCACCTTTCAGTGCAAAAGATCTGCCTTCTTGAGACTTTGAGGATAGTATAAACTCAGAAATGGAAGAAAATATCACTAGATTATAGTTTGATTAATTTAGAAATAATTTTTCTTGTTTGCCTTAACCTCATATTATCAGGGGTACACAATCAGTCCCTCATGCTAGTCATGGTTTATAATATGCAAAAGAGTGATAATTCCTCTCTGGGCCAACTTTGATGAGCGCATTACTGCAGTCCGTCAATTTGCAGTGTTGATAGTTGAAGAGGACTTTTTATTCCATAAAAGGAGCCAACTCTGAAGCATAAAGACAGCTTTTTCAGGGCTGGGTACTTGGTCTGTGCTGACAGTGTAGGGCTCTTTAATTTGCTCCTGGGAGGGTTATATGCTGATGCTACATGCTGGAAACAGGCAGCTCTTCCTTAGTGGAATGTGCTCTGCTTCCCCTGCCATGTTCCTCCACACGGGAAGTCCAGGTTGATTTGTATGTTCTCATGCGTGCTTCCTGGCCTCACTGAAGTGGACGGAAGATCTGGAATACATTTCCTTTAACCTCCTTCTGCTCTTATTTATTGGGGAACATGATATGTATCACAGTGAATCTGTGTGGCTTTCGTACCAACAAAATAAGATATATTCATAACTGTGCTTTAGAAACATAACAGACAACCTCTTTCTTTTCTAGGGGGAAGATCCCCTGGGGGCAATTCACTTGCGAGGGTGTGTGGTGACTTCAGTGGAGAGCAACCCTGAGGGTAAGAATGAATTTCTATGGGAAAGAAGGGTGTCTTCTTAGATTCCCTCCCCATACCTGTGCATACTGAACCAACATCAACCAATAAGTCAGGAATAATCCTGCATGGATGTTCTGTCTGAAAACCTTGCAGAGAAGAAGAACTCCTTGTGTTCTCTCCTAAGAGCTGCCCCTGCCCTTTAGGCTTTGAGGAATTAAGAGTGGCTTTGCCGATGTCAGAAAGTCCTTAAGCAAGGCTGAAAAATTCATGCCCTCAGAACTGGCTTAGATGGAGAGGTGGTTAGCTCCTGACACCATGACATTCTGACAGGAGATCTTCTACTTACACAGACTAGGAAATTCCTCCCTACAGAAGGAGCATTTGTGCAGTGAGGCAGTCTGGTAAGTGGAAGCAGCACCCAGGTTCCGGGTAGGTCTGTGGCACCCAGTCTCTCACCCAATCCACAGTAAACCAGCTCATTCATGGGGACGTCGTTCCTCTGAAGATGAGGGGCTACATGGGATGAGTTCCAGTTCTTCCTGGATTATGAGCTTATGATGGACACATGGAATAACCATGTGGCTACAGATGGATTTCTCCAGACAGATGGAATCACTGAGAAATGTGATTTTGACAGCCCAATCTCTGGTTTTATTTTGCCATTTTGGGTGTATAGTGTTATAAAGGTAGACAAGGAAACCGTAGCTTCAAAGCCCAGATTTTCACTACACCTGGGTCTTCCATCCCCACCTCCTTGAATGATATTTAGTTTTGAAGTAGAAAGCTTTTCCATTTGAGATGGAGACTGTAAGTCTTGTTACAGTACTTGTTAGTTTATTGACTTTTAATCTTTCATCTTTTAGTGGGAGCTATAAATTGGCCATTGATGCAAACCAATTTAGACTACACTTATGGTAGCAGTAAAAGGTCTATTTAGTGTTTTGTTTTTCTGTGGTACTGGAGATTGAATCCAAGGTTTTTCACAGAGTTACCTGCCCAGCCAATTTACTTTTTCATTTTTTATTTTGACACAGGGTCTTACAAATTTACCAAGGTGCCCAGGCTGGGTTCATACTTGTGATCGTCTTGCCTCAGGATATATATCTATATATCTATATATCTATATATCTATATATATATATATATCTTCACACACTTATATTTATATTCATTTTATGTGTGAACATGTGTAAATCAGGGTCAGCCCTTGGTTTATGCTATGAGCAGAAGAAATGTACTCATTGAGCATTATTAGAAGTTACTCATTAAATGCTATTGGTGGGCAAAGGTGAGGAACTTCATTCACTTATAAACTGTGAAATAAAAGGCTTCCCCTTGAGTATTTTACTTATGTCTTAAAAATATATACATATACATATGGTCATGCTAAGTCCCCACCTATATGAATATCACATAGATTCTCATGCAATGAATATACACAATTATACAATGTTTTTGTGTTGGGAAACCACAGTTGGTACCTTAGAGCACCAACAAAGAAAAAAAAAGACTGGACATTTCATGGAGAAGGAGACAGGTCAGCTGACGGCCACTCACTCTCTCTTTCACCAGGCAAGAAGAGTGAGGAAGAGAACCTTTTCGAGATCATCACAGCTGATGAAGTTCATTACTTCCTGCAAGCGGCCAACCCTAAGGAGCGTACTGAGTGGATCAAAGCCATCCAGGTGGCCTCACGGACTGGCAAGTGAGGACAACCTGCAGGTCCTCATCCCCTCCTCGGGGAAGCCTGTGCATAAGCTCAGTCCTGGGCATGTCCACTTCTGTGATGACTCATCCCGAGGGCTCCCAGGGTGGGAAGTTTCACCTGCATGTAGCCAGCCACGTGGCACACAGTGTCCGCATGCCCTGCCTTGCTCACTGCAGACTTTCTGCTCTCTTTGTGTCCCCAAACCTTGTAACAAGTTGCGTGGTCCACATAGGCTGCTTAGCCCTTTCAGGACTCGAGGCCTCTTCTGGAAAGTGAAGGAGGTCCTGCCTAGCTGAACACCAAAGAATCCCATGACCCTAGTACCTATGCAAGTGAAAGTGTCTCTCATTGCCCTGCTGGTGTCTTCCTTTGTCTAAGTTTTGGCCTTCAGCTGACCTCAGGTGTGCCACAGTCTGAGACGGCATCTCCCTTGAAGCTGTTGCCATTCTATACCAGGAGCCCTGGGTATAAGCCTCTTCTGTTCTGTTTAGATGTCTTGTGTTTGTTACTGGCCATGGGCTCATATAAGAAAATGGAGGGGGCACAGTCTTCCTAATTCACTACCCACAGAGACACTTCCTGAAGAACAGTGGTAGTTTTTAGCATTATACCTTCTATTGCTTTGTACTTTTGGGAGAACGACCTCGGAGGTCAGGAGTAGCTGAGGGTTCTTTCCAGGCCAGAAGCAGCCCAAAGCCTGGAGTTAGACAACTGGCTTATAAGTGCCAACACTGAAAGGGCTCAGATTTACAGAGCTTGTGGTGGCGACTGTTAACATTGTCACAATCAGTGCTCCGGGTCATGATCCTGTGTTTGTCTTTGAGTTTAAAGCACAAACAGTAACAGCTCTCATTCTGCTCCAGACCTCAGAACTAGAGTGACCTGTCCTAGATAAAAATGGAAACATTAAAAAAAAAAAAAAATGGAAACATACCATTTTCTACCCTGGTCACTAGCTAGTGATGCTTTACAAAATTGGGAAGGATAGTATCTGTAAAGTCAAGAGCATGTATGAAGGTATGTTTTTTTCAACTCTAAATTGTTAATTTTTTGGTCCCATTAAGAAAGGGCAACTAGAAATTTCTTCCTGATTTTACCAGCTCCTCTCCTGCCTCCTTTATCTCCCCTGACCACTTCTAAGGTTGTCCCTAGTCTCAGCTTATTTTGTCAATGGCCTGAAGGTAAAGGACTATCTTTTTCTCTGATTGTTTAACACATTTGCTTTATAGAATATGCATATTATTTTTTTTCCACATTCAATGTAAACTATTTATTAATATGGAGTCAACCCCGTGTTTTGAAATAAATATGCCTTTATTTAGCGTCTCTTTAGTGTGATGACTGTTTTTGCCTGTCATTAATGGCTCTCCTTTTCTACAACTTACTTTCATTTACTGAAAAATAACACTGTCTTTCACCTCTCAAATCATTTCAATGACTTTATGATTTTTTTAAAATAAAATTCTATTTAAGAAATAATAAAACATTCTAAAATTAAAGATAAAGTTTAAAGAATAGAAAAATACATGAACAATGTCGGTCATTGATTTTTAATCAGCCAGACTTGATTACAATGTTCAGGCAAGCAAAGCTTCCATTTGAGATGCAGAGAACTATTTACATTCAGGGGAAAAAGTTTCCTAGTAAAGGGCTTCTATGGAAAATTGAATAGAATGTGCACAGTTCAACACCACTGCAGTCTAGGTGACTGATGCCCCTGGGCCTTGTGAAACAGAACTGTGTATTTGTACACAGTGAGTGAGCAAGCATTCAAATCATTATCCAGGTAGACATGGTGGTGCATGTCTGTAATCCCAGCACTGAGAGGCTGAGGCAGGAGGATTGTAAATTCTAACCCACATAGGACAACTTAGCAACTTTTTGTCTCAAAATAAAAAATAAAAAAGGGTTGGGGATGTGGCTCAGTGTGAAGGCCCTGGTTTTAATTTCCGGTCCCTCCTCCCTCTCTCTCTCCCTGTCTCTCTCTCTCTCTCTCTCTCTCTCTCTCTCTCACACACACACACACACACACACACACACACATACACAAAGTAGTCAAGGCTTCCTAATGTGTAGTTAATTCTTCTTGGTGGGAAGAATGTGTCCCTCCACAAGGTGGATCTTCAGAGATATGGATGTTATGTGTGAACCTTTTGCTTAGAAATCCAGCACAGGCCCAAGGAGGTATTGTAATAGGCTGATCCACATGGGCCTGAGCCCCAGTTTGCAGATATGATGCTCAGTGATGTGGATGATTCAGTTCCAGCTGAACAGCATTTGAAGCCAGAAGGAGAGGGTGGTCAGCTTTTATTCAGGGTTCCACTGAAGAATGGGAAGATTGTCTAACAATCAACGGTGGAGGAATAAAGAAAGTATGCATAAGGAGGCAAACTCCCTGTATCATGTGACTGACAATAAATTTATAAAAGTAAAGCATTCCATCTGAAAATTCTAACACCCTTTGGAGGAAAAAATAAAAGGAGACATAGAGTGAGAATTTTACACATATGTGTAAAATACAGTTCTGATTTTAGAACAGATGTTAAGTTTCTCTTGTAGACACACAGAGACCGGTTCATGTATACAGTGGCTAAAATTCTACCACAGAGAATAGCTTCCAAACGTAGAATGAGGGGCCTGGGAATTTAGCTCAGTGACAAAGCGCCTGCCTGGCAAGCGCAAGGTCCTGAGTTTGATTCCTGGTACTGAAAGAAAAACAAAAAAACAAACAAACAAAAGTAGAATGAGGAACTCACTTAGATTGAGATAAACAGCTCCTCAGTGCTGCTGGTAGGTATTTTAAAAGGTCAAATGGAGCATCAACATTGTTCCCTTTGGATTTGATGTAGACAGTCCCAAAAAGTCTCAGGGTGAAAAGAAAATCATGAAAGTAAGTTTTTAATATTTCAGATTTTATTTTGCATTCTGCTCTGAATAATTTCAAACTGCATAGGGTCTATTAGGAAAAGTTGTAGAGACTAGTAGAAAGAGAAAGTTATGAAAAGTTTTTACCTTGCTTTAAAAAAAGGCACAAAACTAAGCTCTCAGTAGTTCTAGCCTAATTTCAGGGGAAGGGAAAGATAAAATTTAGATGGCACTAGAGGAGAGGAAGGACGGTGGGAGGAGACAACTTTTTTTGATACCACACTTGTTACTTAGTTTGAGCGGTGGTAAGTTGCAAGGGAAGATGCCCACAGATGTTCGTGGGGAAGTCCTGTGATACACTCAGAAATGCAGTGGTCCTGGAGTCTGGGTCCTCTGGGTTCAAATACTCAGTGTGTGACTTACTGCTTTCACAACATCTCTCAGTATCAGCTTCTGGGTTAGTCAACTTCCCCTCTGCAACAAAAACCCGAGGCAATCAACATATATATATACACACACATATATGTAAAGGTTTAGTCCATGGTTGACTGGCAGCCCCATTGCTTTGGGGACTATAGTGAAGCATCACATAGTGATGGGGAGCATATGACAGAGGTAACTGTTTACCTCATTGGCTAGCATTCAAAACAGAAAGGAAGGAGAAGTGGCCAGGGTCCCATTACCTACTTCAGGGGTCTACCCCCAATGACAGATGACCTTCAACTAGACTCGACTTCCCAATAAAGCCACACTGAGGACCAAGCCATTACCACATGGACCTTTTGGGGACATTCCAGAACTAAACTGCAATAGCTTCTTGGTCTCTAAAATGAAAATGATAATGTTAATGATGTTGGTAAGAATAAGTGAAGTCACACTTAGAAGTCACCTGGCATGGGTGGGCCCCCAACAAATTCTTTCTTTTCTTCTGATCCCATACTATAGAAGGCACATAAGATAATTCAGGCTGTTCGGCTGTCACTGGTTTTTGACTTTTGCTCTGTCAAAATTGCCTGGGAATTCCATCACTGAATATATACCTCAGCTCTGACTTCAGGGATTCTGATTCCCTAAGTGTACATTTGGGCCTATATATTTGTCCGAATTCTTTTCTTCCTAAGTGGATAACTTTTATCAACATTAAAATAAAAACTATGAATAAATTTCTTGATTTTCCACTAGCTACTGTTTAGACATCAATGTAATAGTCTAGCACATGAAGCTCTCAGCAAAATGGCCCCAGATTACCTTTCTGAAAGAATTTCTCCTTTGCTCCTTCTAACCCAGCCATTTTTGTCCCTTCCTTGTCCCAGGGAGCTAGGTCATATTTCTGTAGTCCAATGCACCAACTCCATAGCTTACTGATGCTCTGGCTTTTTGGTTCTTCATTTTACTCCTACCTCTGTGGTAGACTCTCTGCTTGTGAATTTCTCTACCATGTATTTACACTCTGCATTTAGCATATAATACATTGGCTGGTATGATCTACCCCGCTTTCTGCTTTAGAGTTGTGTCTTTGGGAACAGAAAAGTGACCCTACTTTACAATTTTATCAATTCTTCCAACACTTAGTTCAGTGCTTGTGGGTAGTAGCTATACTATATAGTTATTGGAATGAAATAAATGAAATTGTAAGAAGGTCCTTATATACTGACTTGAGCTTAGAGCAATCAATACAGCCATAATGGCAAGCACCTTCTGTCGACTACCACTACTCTATACTATGCAAATAAGAATTCAGTTAAAGTTTATAATCCAGGTTGGCTAGTGTGGGTCCTTGCTTTTAATAGTGAGGTTAATTAAAACTAAAGCACAAATCTAAAGGGAAAAAGCTTTAATGGGAAGTTTGAGAGAAAATAGAAAAGGATGCCAGTGTAGGTAGCTGGAGGGGGACACTCTTATACAGAGCTTTAGAATGGCCCACATGCAAAAGTGGGAGACCAGCCTTTAAGGATTAGGCGGTGTGCTGGACCTAGTTGATCATTATCTCAGTCCTTGTGTCACAGTTCTGGAATCCTTATGGCTGAGGGATGGTTCGATTTCCAGGAAGAAACTGACCCTACTTGTGGTGGTCTCGGTATGGTCTCCTGTGGGGCTCTTCCTTTCCTGGAATCCAGGTGATCACAGGTTTAGAACAGTGGCTGGAAGCTTCCTAGTGTAGCCTAGTGTCTCTGTAAGCCTCTTATTGTGGGGTCCTCAGTCCTGAAGGGCATGAGATACTGTAAATTTAGGGTTAGGCAACCCTGTGTGGCCTGCTCTTAGACAGATACTCCCTAAATATCAATGTACCCCTGTGCAGAGCACAGAAGAGGTTTGACCTAAGATTTACAATAACAAAGGATAGAAAATGAAAGTCAGACTTTGTTCTGCTTTGAGTTGCTTAACGGGTATCTGTAGGCCCAAGTGAAGTGTCATGGTTCATAGAAAACACAGCTTTTAAATCCCTGTGTATCCCAGAAGAAACACAAAGGAAGCTTTTAATGAGTAGCAAGTAAGGGCCCAGCGTTGTGCCTGTTCCCCATCCCATCATGACCCTGACTGTTATGACTGCATCAGCAGTAGATTTGTAACATACTATTTCCATTTTATAGAGAGGTGAATTGACTTGCAGTTCGAAGTCATAACACATAGTGAGGAATTGTCAGAGTTAGGATGCTGTACAAGTCTGGCTGGTCCTGGGTTAATGCTTTTATCCTTCTTGTTAAAATGTCCCTTCATATCCCAAATTTATTACTTAATTTGAATAACAATCATGTGAGGCACTTTTGTCTTCATTTTTCAGCTGAAGAAAATGAAGTTAACTCACTCAAGAGCCTTGAGTCAGCAATGGAAGGAGACACAGTGCCATGTCAGCCCGGCTGCTGGGCCATGCACTTAAGCACTCTGCTCTACCATGGATATACTTGGCGCTTGCCACCGTTTAGTTGTATATCTTGTTGTCACAGGAGTCCTTCTTACAGTGCCCACCACTTCTGTCCTATCAGCTGCAACAGCGTTTCCTGTTTCCTTTGCTTAAAGGACACCTCTCTGGTCAGATACAGCTAAGGAAGTAGCTCTGCCCTGCTGATACTCGTTTTGAGGCTTCTGGGGATTTTATTCTCTAACATTGTGTTGCAAAACATTTCCTGGGCTGATTAGCACGTGTGTGCTATATATATGTCTATACAGTTGTGTACTCATGTATGGGGTTACTTCTCCATCACTGTAACACAATACCTGACTAAATCAACTTAGAGGGGAAAAGACTTGTTTTGGTTCACAGTTAGCTTCAGTTCACGAGTCAGGTGGCTCCATTGGTTTTAGGTCTGTCAAGGCAGAAACATCATGGGCAGAAAGGTGTGGCAGAAGAAGACTGCTAACCTCATGACACCCAAGAAGGGGAGAGAGAGGAAGGGACCGAGGTCCAAATATACTCTTTAAACATAAGGTCTCTATTATTTACTTCCTCCAACTAGGTCCCA